AATCAAAGGAAGCACTAGATGGCAACAATGTCACCCTTTCCTGTAGACACGGAGCAGGTCGCAATATTACAACAGTGCTGTGGTATCGGAACTATGTTTATATATTCCAAACGTCCACCCACAAACCGGAAATAGTACAAGACAAGCAGTCGGACAAAGACGACTACCGGGCTGTGGATGGGCGTATTTTAGTTAACGCCAACTTTGCCGTTCACAATGTGAGCCTCCAAATGAACTCTTCGCTTGATGCGGAATCTGTGTGGACTTGTGATGATAATCAGAAGTTCAGTGATGACTTGGTGATCGAGGCAAAAAGAGGTAAGAGGGAGATAACTCCTTTAATCTGTATATGTATCGACAGCGCGATATATCTATATATTTCATATGACGATATTAATATGCCTCATCAGTTTATATAAAGATGTGCTTTTCAAGTGGTATGTAACTTACATACTTATCTGCTTTGGCTGATTGATTTCACATCATGATAATCATCATCATCTTCTTATAACAGCTGACGGTTCTGAATCAACCGCCTTTCCTCTGTCATCGACACCAACAACTTACGGGAACGGTAATGTGTGAAGTAACAGAGATATATTATACATTCGTACTTGAAAGGTACATTCTAAAACCACACAAGGAATAAGTGATAACGGGCATAATTTCAGAGTCGGTATGTCTGCTCGTATCTCTGCTGGGAATTTGGTCAAGACGTTTAATTTAATAAGCTTCAGGTATATGGGAGATCCGATATCGTTCAATAATGGTCAAATAGCCAATTCCTTTTCTCTGATTGACCCTTCTGAGCAAGAAATAAACAAGACTAGTGAAACACCTCATCTGTTTCATATGTGGCTCTATGCGTACAGATTCAGAGTGACAAAACTCTCTACATGACTGTATAAAACGAGGGATGACTTCAACTTTCATACATTTGACTGTAACTATAACGTTGTTTGACCAGTGTTGCAAAATTCCAGGTATTTGTATATGTTTGTGTGTTTTACACCGCAATCAACAATATTCCAGCTTTAAGGCGGCGGTCTGTAAATGCTCGACTCTGGACCAAATAATCCAGTGTTTTACCTCATGAGCATCTTTCTACGCAGTTGGGATATGATGATATTCATCAACCAAGTCTGTGAGCCTTAACGCCTGATCCCATTCGTCGTCTCTTACGACTAGCGCGGGTTGTTGAAGATGGATTGTTCTAACCCGGACCTTCATAGATCTTAAACGCACGAGCACTGATATGGTGTTCATAAAAGAATCGACCCTGGAACAAGATTCTGGAACTCCTAGCGGACGCGGCTCCAGACAAGGAATTTTGACACCCTAACACTGCAAACTCTTTGTGTTCATAATAACATTTTACTTATAATCAGATTGTTTGAAGCGTTGACAAATGGATTATATATGGACAATAATTTGGAAGTGACACGTGATTTCTATCTTGTTTCAGTTGATAGTAAGAAAACCACCACCACCCTGGGAATAACTAAACCAACAACCGAAGAATACGGTAAGTGCTCTCATCGTAAGTATGCCATGGGAATAACTAAACCAACAACAGAAGAATACGGTAAGTGCTCTCATCGTAAGTATGCCATGGGAATAACTAAACCAACCACCGAAGAGCTCTCATCGTAAGTATGCCATGGGAATAACTAAACCAACAACAGAAGAATACGGTAAGTGCTCTCATCGTAAGTATGCCATGGGAATAACTAAACCAACCACCGAAGAATACGGTAAGTGCTCTCATCGTAAGTATGCCATGGGAATAACTAAACCAACAACAGAAGAATACGGTAAGTGCTCTCATCGTAAGTATGCCATGGGAATAACTAAACCAACCACTGAAGAATATGGTAAGTGCTCTCATTTTAAGAACGCCATGTGTACACTCAAGTACGCCATGTGTACACTCAAGTAATATCTGGGTAGGCAACGTAAGCCACTGGTACATTTTCGTCAATTCGTTTCACCTGTGGTCTGGAGTCTTTCAATCCGGACCGTTTTCATGTAAATAATCTGCTCTTTTCAGCAACAACTTCACAACCAAGCACACGTTCTGTGACAACACAAACAACCAAGGATGACTGTAAGTGTTGTACCTCAGGAAGATTTTGTCTTAAAGTAGAAAGTAATAATAACACAGTGATACGATAAAACACATCGCCATGCTTATTCAAATAATGAGTTCTCTCAATATTGTGAATAATTCACATGACCAGAGTCTGTCGGTAGTTTAAATATTTTTCTTCGATAAAAGAAATGTTTGTGACTGTAGTATTTATGCTATCAGAGGATGGTTATTATCATCTATTTCAAGAGCACCTGCATAAGCTTACGTGGTGGCGGAGTCTTGAACTTTGCCGTTGATATCAGATTTTGAGATTAGGAGATTTCCAGAACAGTAAAGTTATCAAAATTATTCTTAAACTTCAATTCGCGTGAAGTCATGTTTGCTTGGACGTGTTTCTAAATTCTTCAACAGGTAATCATTGAAACTCCATATGCCGATTCCAGTTCACATTAGATCCCAATTACTGTCATCGTATCCCGACAATGTTGGTCGTTGTTCATGCTATCAACTACTAGTTTGCCAGATTCGGTATACCAGGACCATAGCTGACTGTGGAATAAAACAACAAACTCATAATAACAGTTAATAAGATGCGAAGGTCATGTTGATGCCGATCGATATGTTTGAAAATCCATAACTCTCTATTTCCAGCAAGCAGTGACAAAAGGACCTCAAGTGCCTCAACACTGACAACATCCACGTTCAAAAGCAAGTTTCAAATTTGCTTATTCAGTAAATATTAAAGACGTTATAGACCATGTCCCATGTCTACCGAAAGTGTGTCTTTGCTGTTCAAGAGGGAAAAGGAAACACCGTCTTGTATCGTTGGACATTGAAAGTTCATTGACCTCATGACTCAGTGATTCCAGTGGAATACTTCTGGAGCAAAGTCAGATTGGATTTTTAGTTTTAGAGATATTAGCCCAGTAAGGATCCCGGGTTAGCAGTTGTTGAATTTTTCTTCAATAGATCGGATAGATCCTGGCTCGGTAATTCGGTTGTTTGCTTCTCATTGATGCATAGGGACTCAATTATATAAAGGCAGTCTGTCAACATCTCATTGCTGAGTGAGGCGATCTGTAAACAATAAATAACATATTAACCTTACACATTTGACTGCATTACACAATCCTCCGTGTCGCAGGCGTAGCGCCAGTCAAGTGATGACACCAATACAGATGAATTAAACGTGCATATTGCAGTTCTAGATTTGAATATGCTTATTTCACAGGCAGCAGAAAATCTACTTCTCATCAACCAGCTGTGCATTTGACGACACTTTCTCAGCCCGTGTCAAGTTCTGCAGGAACCAAGAACGGTAATATCAGTACAAAAACCACAGAATGGTACTTTTATGGTTGTGTTAATTGGACTTGAAAACATTCGTGTTAATTCTAGACTTTGATTTGTATTCCCTTGGCAACATCATGAAGCGTTTTCATTGTCTAGAAGACAGTGAATGTTTGGTTCAGAAGTACAACCTGATATATTGTTACATGATTCCATGTTTCGATTCTCATTTTGTGTAAACATGCGGGAAAAACACATTCACATTAATAACAATTGACACGGATGTTTCAGAACCATGCATGATGATCACATGTTAACACACTTTTTCCTTATTACCCCTGATGACCCTGAAGGTGCAAGTGAAATATCATCATTGCACGCATACATGGGGGAAAGAAATTCCACACACATGTACAGTACACGTAAGACCGATTTAATTGTAAATATATTGCTGAGTGCAGCGTTAAACAAGAACCAAAACAAATATGCAGCCGTAAATATGACACCAATCAGAGTTCAATGCCCTAACCACATCCGAAAGCTTTGAATAAAGACTCGACAAGCGTCTGTATGATTTATACCGCTGGCGGAATTAGGAAACGAGGAATACTTCATGTTTAACATTACATCACTAATTTGGCAAATAATTATACGTATGAAAACGTCTAAAATTGCTGAATCTTTGTTCTTTACAGAGATTATCCTGTATGCTGTAATTGGATCAGCGGTTGCTGTTGTAGTGATGACAACTGTGGCTGTGACTGTGTGTATTGTCTGTGTCAAGAAAATGATAGGTAAATACTACAGCAGTGTTATAGTATATGCGTATATAAAGGAAAGAACATTATATTCTGTTCCATAAGCCATTTATCAAAAGCATCCCAAGCTATACGGCAATAAAAAACAATAAAATAGATGGTAGGCGGTTAGTATCACAGAGACACTACATACAAACTGAATTTGCAAGATAATAACTATGATGCTAATATTGTTGACTTTGAGCTTTAAGCATTCGAAGACAAGGAACATATGCATGTACTCTTTGCTAATTAGTTTAAAGATGGTTATATTTAAAAAAAATATGTTATATAATTCACTGTTACGTGATGCACTTTGCCTTCTATGAATGTTTGCCATTGATGTTTAACTTCATCGTTTCAGGTCGTAAGGACACTGACAAACATACGTATGTACAACACATGAATAACTTACATTATATCGTCCGTATCTTCATTAATTAAGACGATAGTGTGATTTAATGTAGTAAGAATACACTCCTGGATATCACCATGCAATTAATGACGGATACGCTTGTATATACTCCGGATGTAAGCTCAACAAAAACTCAAGAAAATAATAAGTTATCAAAGATAGTGTTTTACCATAAGGTGCAATCCGTGTCAAAGATATTTGTTACAGTCTAATGTGTTGGAGCACGTGTCTCAGTCCATTCATCTCGAACATCTCTGAAGTGTAAAATGTGTTCGGCCAAAGTGACCGACATTGCTCTCATTTAGAAAGTGTTAACTTCTGTGCTCCGTACTTCTGTAAATGATCTACGTCTAGCTTTTAGTCCACGGTTCCATTATGTGTCTGAACATTCATTTTCAGAATTGATAAGGGCACACCGGAAGGTAACCATGGAGATGTAAACATGGATGGTTTGTATTCTCATTTCTATATACTTCGTGTACATTTCTATTTACTTCGTGTACATTTCTATATTCTTCGTGTACATTTCTGTATACTTCACGTACATTTGTATGTACTTCGTGTACATTTCCATATATGTTGTGTACATTTCTATATATGTCGTGTAAATTTCCATATATGTTGTGTACATTTCTATATATGTCGTGTAAATATCTATATACTTCGTGTACATGTCTATATATGTTGTGTATATTTCTATATATGTCGTCTACATTTCTATATTCATTGTGTACATTTCTAAATACTTTACGTACATTTTTATATACTTCGTGTACATTTCTAAATTCTTCTTGTACATTTTTATCTACCTCGTGTACATTTCTATATACTTTGTGTACATTTCTATATACTTCTTGTACATTTCTATATACTTCGTGTACATGTTTATATATGTTGTGTACATTTCTATATACTTCTTGTACATTTCTATATACTTCGTGTACATTTCTATTCACTTCGTGTACATTTCTTTTTACTTCGTGTACATGTCTTTATATGTTGTGTACATTTCTATATTCATTGTGTACATTTCTAAATACTTCACGTACATTTTTATATACTTCGTGTACATTTCTAAATTCTTCTTGTACATTTTTATCTACCTCGTGTACATTTCTATATACTTTGTGTACATTTCTATATACTTCTTGTACATTTCTATATACTTCGTGTACATGTTTATATATGTTGTGTACATTTCTATATACTTCTTGTACATTTCTATATACTTTGTGTACATTTCTATATACTTCTTGTACATTTCTATATACTTCGTGTACATGTTTATATATGTTGTGTACATTTCTATATACTTCTTGTACATTTCTATATACTTCGTGTACATTTCTATTCACTTCGTGTACATTTCTATTTACTTCGTGTACATGTCTATATATGTTGTGTACATTTCGATATATGTCGTCTACATTTCTATATTCTTTGTGTACATTTCTATATACTTCACGTACATTTGTATATACTTCGTGTAATTTCTATATTCTTCTTGTACATTGCTATATACTTCATGTACATTTCTATACACTTCATGTACATTTCTATATACGTCTTGTACATTTTTATCTACCTCGTGTACAATTCTATATACTTCTTGTACATTTCTATATACTTCTTGTACATTTGTATATACTTCATGTACATTTCTATACAGTTCATGTACATTGCTATATACTTCATGTACATTTCTATACACGTCATGTACATTTCTATATACTTCTTGTACATTTTTATCTACCTCGTGTACAATTCTATATACTTTGTGTAATTTCTATATACTTCTTGTACATTTCTATATACTTCATGTACATTTCTATACAGTTCATGTACATTTCTATATACTTCATGTACATTTCTATACACTTCATGTACATTTCTATATATTCTGTGTACAGTTCTATATACTTCGTGTACATTTCCATATACTGCTTGTACATTTCTATATACTTCTTGTACATTTCTATATACTTCTTGTACATTTCTATCTACTTCGTGTACATTTCTATATACATCTTGTACATTTCTATATACTTCTTGTACATTTCTATATATTTCGTGTACATTTTTAAAAACTTCTTGTACATTTCTATATACTACGTGTATATTCTATATACTCTGTGTACATTTCTATATACTTCTTGTACATTTCTACATACTTCGTGTAAATTTCTAAATACTTCTTGTACATTTCTATATACCTTGTGTACATTTCTATATACTTCGTTTACATTTCTATTATGATGTGTACATTTCTATATACTTCGTGTACATTTCTTTTTACTTCGTGTACATTTCTATATATGTCTTGTACATTTCTATATACTTCGTGTACATTTCTATATACTTCGTGTACATATCTATATATGTTGTGTACATTCCTATATATGATGTGTACATTTCTCTATATGATGTGTACATTTCTATATATGTTGTGTACATTTGTATATACTTCGTGTACATTTCTATGTATGTTGTATACATTTGTATATACTTCATGTATATTTCTATATACTTCGTGTACATTTCTATATACTCCGTGACATTTCTATATATTTCTTGTCCATTTCTATATATGTCATGTACATTCTAATAAACGTTTCGTTGCAGTGATGGTCGACAATGAAGCTTATGTTCAATATGCCTACATTGAAGATACAAACAGTTGTGATGTGCAGTATGAAAGAGAACCTGCAGGTAGAAGTGCACATTTAACAACAGAATTAACGAGTCATGATTAAATCTTGTTCAGGTAATTTATTCCGATTTTACCATAACATGGGAACCTTTCATAATACCAAACGGTTATGTCAAATTATCAAGATGCAATGACGCCTTCATGTTAAGGTTACTGATAAATAATTGTACTTTTGATATTGCTAACAGTTAAAGAGCACAATAGTTCTAGTAGTTTAATACTATGTAATGTCCTTTTCAAAACCAGATTGATTAGTGTAGAATATTAGTGGTGGGCAGTGATGAGTGTCTGTGGTCTGAGCGTCAAATTAAAATCGCACACTAATGATGAAACTAATTTTAGTTTATTAACATTAAGTTAAAGCTTGATACGTCGAGTATTGTCTAGCTCAACACGAGAACAACCATATAATCTCTCATTCAACTCTTATTCCAAATATATTGCAATGTGAACGTGTTTAGCGCTTGACTAACGTAAAATAAGTCTGGTTCATTTGTCACGTGGAACACCCATGCTCGTGAACATCACAATATCAATATATGACTTAAACATAATTCCTATATGGTACACAATGTGAAGACAAGCCATGTCAAGAGAAACTGTGGGGTAGATGCAATCACATGTGAGAGCGATTTGGTAGAGTTTAACTGTGTAATGGTGAGTGAGTTTGGTTTTACGCCGCTTTTAGCAATATTCCAGCAATATCACGGCGGGGGACACCAGAAATGGGCTTCACACATTGTACCCATGTCGGGAATCGAACCCGGGTCTTCGGCGTGACGAGCGAACGCTTTAACCACTAGGCTACCCGACCGCCCCTAACTGTGTAATGGTGTGTCATTGTGTCGCCTTATTGTCCCCGGGGCAACGGTTGTCCAGTCATCTGAGAAGACTTAATTCATTGTACAGAGTTGTGTCCCCTAGGTGTTTGGGGTGTGTGCAGAGAGATCTCTATCCAAGGTAGTTGATATAGCTTCAACGGCGAGAGACACGGGTGTCCCAGTCATCTAAGGTAACACAGTTACCTGTTTCGTCCCTTAAGTGTGCCAGGAACCTGATATCTTGGCTCGAATCTCGGTTCACCCTGATTATGTTTCTATGTTTGTCAGCAACATGCCCGTGTTTGTGGTTTCACCCAAGAGGTAAACGTCTAATCACTGCATTGCTGTTGGCATTCTTCCCACATCAAGGTGACACTTCCTGATATGTGTGTTAAAAGCGGCTTTAAGCCAATTTTATAACTCACTCACTTCAATTGTTTTAGTAATGGTCGACAACGTCTGTTATCATGGGTATTCGGACAGCGACGTCTCGGACACCTCGTACTGGGAGGTAGGCGGATGGTACTCGTCGTCTTCCCACTCCATACATGTATTTGTTACAGATTCAAATTGCCAACACTGAAATAGGAACGAAGCATATATATATCTAAATTTGTGCAAGTAACGTGTTTGTTAGTTATTTTCCTTTAACTTCTCAAATTTAAGCTATTTATTTGTCGATAGCAGTTAATGTTATAACAATTAATAATCCATCACGTTGTCATACAATCTAGATGTTCTATAACTAATGTAAACTGTATTATTACTTGCCCGTGAAGAGATCACCCGTTTAATAAACATAGAGCTGTATTACACATTGTGTAATACCAAAACGCGTGCTTATGTACTCTCGGAACACGTTTCTAGAATAAATATTGAAAGCTCTCAACATCCCTTGGCTTATTCAACGACATTGCGTGTGGAGATGATAGATCACTGAGAGGAGCTCAAGCACACTCGATGACCCCAGCAACCGTGTTGCTAGGCTGACGTCACATGGCATTGTTTCGCCGAAGGATCTTGCAACAAAATTCCACAAATTACGTCATCGGGTATTGTGACGTGATTGTTAACTTTGAGGTGCAAGGCCCCGTTCCACAAGGCGATAGTACTGTAGCGCAACGACAGTCGTTGGTCTAAGTTAAAGTATGTGAGTTGCGATAACCTTAACGGTACGATAATTTTGTAGAACGGACGCCTGAATTCTAAAGGTGGGCCGTTGTATGGTATTAAATTCATACGTTTCAACTTTTGACATGTGTGAAGTATTATTGTGTTAAACTCAATTGGGTTATGCCGTGGATCGCGTAGGTGTCAGCCTATTCACACTCAACAGTATAATTCTTAAAACGTTATAAATGGCAAGTAATAAATAAAATACTAAACTCGCTTCCGTGTAAAACCAATTTTATGAAACTCGTGAATAGTTGTGGTATCTGACTCGCTTTCGCTCGTCAGATACCACAACTATTCACTCGTTTCATAAAATTGGTATTACACGAGAGCTCGTTTAGTATTCTATATTTCTCCATCTCTCAGGCACGTCCTACATTCTTTGTGTTGACAGTACAACGGCCCCGCTGATGAGCGTGCTGGATCTGACAACAAGGAATAGTGAGTATATGGACGGATCATAATCACTACCATCAGACTGAAATATGTGTGTATCATTGGAGCAATATGTACTGATAGTCGCTATCCTCTACTATTCGGAGCCTTCCCATCCGACATGCCGACACACTGAATGCTGCCATTATACAGACACTGGTTGGCATAACAAATAAGCATGAATATGCGTTTTTGGTCGTTGATATTTTGATCCAAGGGAATTTTCTCTTCTGCGGATTTCAAGGGAAAAACGTGGATCTCTGCTATCCTTCACCTGTCGTTAGAGTGAGTGACATGGGTTTAACGCCTCTGTTAACAGTATTCCAGTTATATCACGGCGTGTCAGCTTAATTCGGGAGAAAGCCCGAAGTGATGCAGGTCTCAGACGTTTACCACTTCGGTGAAACCCACGAGCACGGGTATGGCGCTGACAAACCTAGAAACATAATCGGGGCGAACAGGGATTCAAACCCACAATCATAGGTTTCTGGCGCGCAACTCTGCACAGCGTGCGCCCAACTGTCGAAACAGCAGAATAGATGCGGATTGGGTAGATGTGGCGATCGGCGGCGCTGGTTGTCGTTCATACTTTTAGTCAGTCGTTCCATATGTCCAAACACCACTATTACAGGCTCCCGAGACATACGAGGACATATTGAAGACTGCCGCGCCGACACACATTCACGGTCGTTAATGTGGACGTTTAAGATGTACGTCGTATGTTGTTATTCCAGATAATGCATTCAGCATGGTGGCTGTCAAGATTACCTGAATGAACAACAAAACCTAGACAGACAACAACTCGTGTCCGAACAAACTGCAAAACATACGGACACACTTTGAACAGGAATATTGTCAACGAAAATGAAACTAAATTGTTCTTGGTCGTCGTGCGTGTTCGAATCTCATTCGATGTGTATCGAGATGTACTGCCAATATTGTTTTATTGTCATTATTTTTTAGTTTAAGTGGATTATATGTTATATGTGTGTGTCAGTATATTACATCCATTGAATGTTCTTCTGCAAAGTCAGTGCATTATTTTATCATTAAAAAGCATTGAACTGATAGGTTTTCGTTGATGCCTACGTACGGACATACTTATCTCTTATGTAAATGGTTTGATATTATGTGTATGACAGTTGCTTTTATATTTTCCCTCGGCGTTGGTGTACATGTATAAAGAAAGAAATTAGTGATATGATTCATGTCATCTGTATGTGTATATATATTACATACAGATTTGCCATTCAAATTGATATTATTATTATTACATGTGGTATTAATATAATTATTGTGTGTTTATGTGTTATATCAAATCAATATCGTAGTTCATGATTATTGTATTAAACTTGATCACATGTTATGCATGTTGTATGCTAAGAATACCACAGTTTTGTCTGTATTGATGCTGTGGTATTACAGACGCTCCTTTTTATGCTGTGTGGGGTCATGAAGTGTATTTGAGTTATTGGATGCTTATTTGTTAAAAAAAAACAACGTGACAGTATCACGTGTAAAACGATATGAAGCAAAGGGAGGTAATAAGACGAACAAAGTAAACTAAGCAGATGAGACTGATACATACGACCATATGTTCACATTCAGTAGCTTTCCCACACAACCCATTAATGAATCACTTACACCTTGTGTTCCATCTGGAAGTTGAATATATGCAATCAATTAGAAAACTATGGATTAGAAAAGCTTAAACAATTTGAATATTTGTAAAATGGTCATGCTCGCGATCTCATTTGTTGTTTGACATTGATATATGTGTCCGTTTTTCTTTGAGCTAAGTGTCATTTGTTGTATGTTTTGATGTGTTAGTGTTTTGCGCAGCAGTCAACAACGTTGTCATGGCGGCCTGTACCCAGTGGGTGATAGCATGAGCACGTTCACGGCGACGGTGCACAATGACGCAATCAGACAAGTTTCGCAGCCAGACCATCCGATCCGAATTTTAGTTGGCTCTCACTACAAAATATTATTGAACGCTGCCCATGTTTCAGTCAGTCAATCATTTACAGGTGTACTCGAGATTGAGGGAATATTGCTGTCGATGGCGTTGGGCGTTCACTTAATCACTGCCTCATAAATATTACTGTGTCTCCGCAGTGTTCACTCAATATTCTAATGCTTGCGATCGTCCCTTACTTTATACATTTTACTGTTGAAATGCATGTATGTACTCACATTTATGAGATAAAACATTCACAGAACATTGTCTACTCTTGTCTAATCTTGCAAAACGAACGTTCAGTCTCTCTAACTCACTCCTTCAATTGACTACAACTTGGTAGTGGCAATGCTCATCCATTCAGCCCTGTAGTATATAACTGGCCACGAATCACAAGATTGCAATCGGTTTTATGCCTGGAGCCAAAACATCTTAACAAAGAAAGAAGGTCGAAAGCTATGACTAGATTAGATATCCAGGGCGACGAGTTACTTCTTTTAATTATTCTTGATTTTCAATGTTGCCCCTTCATTCTGCAGAGTCGTTGAGATACTGGAGTGACTTGATAATCACAAACCCTGCGACGTTTCTGCACAGTTGTTGACTCATTTTACTTGGCATGGTTTGTAATGTTTTTTTACAATCAAGTGCAACTGCAATGTATGTCAATCTCACCCAGCATGGGTATGTTTGGTAGATACAAGCGTGTGGTTCTCTAACGATAATTTGCAGAGTGCTTCATTCAGTATTGAATCTAGTGACCCTGGGGTCTCTATGCACAGTCACTGGCTTGTTATCAAGGTTTACCTCGCACTGCAAACTTGCTCCTGTATGTTTACCTGCGAAACTGACGTTTTTGACTGGTACACTTCAGCAAGATCATTGTCCAGAAAGGAATTTTCAAATTGGTCGGTCCACATCTGTCAAGGTATCTTCGGCTTTCCAGAGTAGCAAGAACTTTTGGCAGAGTTGTAAGGCTAAAATTATTAGTCTTAGAGTGAATACAAATCACAAAATCACAATTGGTTTAAACCTATATTCCTGGATCCGAAACATCTTAACCCAGGACGAGATGTAAAGGGGTTCGATCCCCGGCATACCGAAACGTTAAGAGATGGTACTTGTTGTTACCCTGTCTTGTGCTCGGCAGTCAGGGGCAAACACAGGGACCAGTCGGCTCAGAGTCAGTATACTGTGTCTGAGTGGGGTATTCGTGTTAAACTGCGGCCCCGGTATCTCCGTGCTAGCACTTTACATCGGCATCACTCCGGACTAGTAGAAGCAGCCACCCACGTGCACATACACACACATACACACACAAAACATACACACACACACACACACACACACGCACACACGTGCATGCACGTGGCTATATAAGTGCCATAATCTTGGACGCGACATTAACAGCAAATAGACAATTCCCTTCCAATGATTGACTTGTGTTTTGGTAGTGACCTAGCAGTGACAGCATGGAGTTATGATGAAAATCAAAACGCCTATCAACAACATTTGTGCAATTCCGATTTTAAGCGTTCTAGACTGGTGTGGCATGACGTTTACGAGATTTGGCTGTCAACACATTAACAATTTACTGTGTGTTTGAAATGACTCAGTCCTCCGTACGTTAGCTGTGACTGTGAGCAGAGGGATTCCTGTCTGCTAGTACAATTCATGTTATCCCTTCGATAGTTGTAGCATCATGGGAAGTAACCTTGCACATAACCACCAAGCACTGTACGTCACTTAGATATACCCAGAGAGGCGGCCCAACACAGATGTCCGACAGACAGGCAGGCGATTCTCCCCTTCCTGATATTGATTTTTACAATCCTGGTTTATAGAACCTCAATTTGAAATGGATTCCTACAGCATGCATTTCTTTTCCCTTCCTGACACTGAAGTGTTATGTAAATTTACCACATTTATCATATCGACATTATCTTTCTTGTTGTTATAATTGTGGGAAGGTTAGTGTAAAAATACATATTTCTGATCAATTAACGAAGTCAATATTTTCTTTGGAATATTGACGGTAATGATAATCCGTTCAATTCCATGTCCGATTGTGTTTGTAGTTGCATTTCTCATATAATGAAAACAGAAGCTAAAAACGTAAAACGTAAGCCCTTGTATCCTACTCCATGAGCTTTACGATCACAGACACGTTTCCTCATGTGAGTCTGTCTCGTGTGAGATAATGATTTAGATTTGCACATTTAGAAGGTTGTGTAGCCGAATGGTGTATCAGAGTCTTCGTCTTCTTTTTAATTGGCTTTATTTTCTGTCTCAGGGGTCGATTTTTTGTTGTTATGAGGCTGCTTCGTAATGGGTTTGTGCAATGTTGTAGTTTAGTGTAATTTGTTTGCTTTCAAAATTGGAGGGCTATTTCCCTAGTCAACTTTAAGGGAGATTTAAATGCAGTGCCTGATATGATATTGTACCTAGTGAGATTGAAAGCGCTTTGTATTGTATTGAATCTAATCTCTTTTTGTGAGAGTGCGTCCTATGCGGATGCGGCGTATTCTATTATGGGTCGGGTGAGCGTTTTGTAGATGGTACATTTGTAAGTAGCGTGTGTTGGTCTGCTCCCCAGCTTGTACCCCGTGCTGCGCTTTAGGTTGAGATCATGGCTGCATTTTGTGATGATGTGTTTGAATGGGGTGTGTATGTTAAGTGGCCTAGGAATTTTGTTTGTGTGCTGTAGTTGATTTTAGAGTTATTTAGTGTTAAGGATGGGGAGTAGTTTTGCATGTAAGGTGTTTTGAAGCGTATGACCAATGTTTTGTCAGTATTGGTTTTGAAACCCCATGGTATTTGCCCATTTGTCAATATCAATGAGTGCGTGTGGTGAATTGTATGTTCTTTAATAGTTTAGATTCTTGAATAGCTATCATTTGTGGGTTGAGCTTATTCAGTTTTATTGGTGACTTTATTCTTTGGATTTAGGTATGATGCCATTGCATCCCACTGGATTATATGCATTACGAGTAGTAGTATGAGTATGTGTATTTTAGAGCGTGCCGGTGTGTGGTGTCCAATCATAGCTCGGTGGGTATCATGTTGTGCGTACAAAGTGAGGTTTAGAGGAGATACAGGTCAATTGTGCCTATTGTGCCATGCGACGGTGCGTACGACGTGGTCGGGGTGTCAAAACCCTGTCGTACCAGTTGTAGATTTTGGAGTTTAGATTTCTTGCGGGGGCACTGAGGTCAGATGCCGGAAAGTGTTTATGTAAAAGTACGTTCGGTTTTGTCGGACATGAGTTTGAAAATGTGTTATGATCATACTGTTCACAGTTTATACAGTAGAGTTGTAGAATGCACTCAGAGCTATGATGTCTCGGAGCTGCATTTGGAACATTTGTCTCGATTTTTACAATTTGATTGTGCATGTCCACAAATGTGGCAGATGGTGCATTGGGCTGTTTTTCTGCTGGTTTTCTGCACTTTTAAAGAGATTGATATTTGAATAAAAATGATAGTTGAGGTGTTCATTAGGGGACCTTGTGATTGTTTCGTGTTGACCTTAGATGGAATTTTTCAGTCCTTTTTGAGGGGCATTTGTCTTTCTGTTTATCAAATGATATGGTTGAGATTGATGCCTCTGGTGTGGACGGTGGGTGGTCATAAGGTGTTAGTGTTGATCGCGAGGACGGACTGCTCTAGATTGAATTCAGCTGCGACCGCCGAGTGACTTCGAATCCCGATAATGGTCTGTGTTGTTGAAAGAGGTAAGTAAATACTTCTGTCACATGCTAGTTTGATACTTCCGGTGGAAAAGAGAAGTTTGTGTTTAAAACCAACAATTATTCAGGTCTGTTGCTTGTAAAATATCTGCAAAATATATACTTCTGATGCATCTGCATGAAATATGTTATGCTGTTAATGGTGAGACGGAAATCAATTTGTCTATGTATTTATCTTTCCATTGGGAGTGTGATAAATGTCGATAATGTGGTGTGTGCAGAGAGAATGCTGACATCAAAGTTTCGTAATAAGGCTTTGTATTAAATGGATCCTTTTCAAATGCTGTTTGTCCCAAGTGTAGAACAAACTGATGACCTAACATCTTCATTATGACGTGTACAAACCACTTCAAATGAGATCTCATCAACATTCCAGGTGTCATGAAGCAGTTGTGCTTGTGCATTCAAACAAAAGGTTCTACATGTGAAGTCAGAGCTATCCGACTGTTCTGGAAG